AGTGGTCCAAAAAAAATTAAGTTGGAATTTTAATGCCGGCACCCCCTAGGATTGTTCTATATCGAAAAAAATATACCCCTATTTTTTTATTTTGAAATCAAAAAATATTTAGGGGGTGCTCAAAGCGCTCAAAGTTTTCCATGTATTTTATATGGAGAAAAAACCATTTTTCGTAGAAATGGTATAAAACTCTTCAAAATCAATATTTTTCAATCGGAAAACTGTGGTTCTCTTCAAGAGACTTCCAGTGTTAATATCCAATTGTTTATTTAACCATTTTTTATGATTAAAGATTTTTCCATTGCATTTTCTAGGGGTTTTGGAGGACCTATAAAATATAGTTACTATGAAAAAATGGTTAAAGAGACAATTGCGTATTATTACTGGCAATCTCCTGAAGATAAGAAAAGTTTTCCGATCGAAAACTGTTGATTTTCAAGAATTCTACACTATTTCTACGAAAAGTGGTTTTTCCCCCATGTAAAATACATGGAAAACTTTGAGCTCTTTGAGCACCCCTATTTTTTTTTTTTTTTCAAAATAAAAAAATAGGGGTATATTTTTTTCGATATAGAACAATCCTAGGGGGTGCCGGCATTAAAAATCCGACCTTATTTTTTTTACATACATTTTTGGACCACTTTAGTATACGTAAGCATACTTTTTAGGAGAATAGCAGCCACGACTCGTGTTGACGGTGTGGTGTGGTGAAGCTGCTTGGAGATGGCTCTCTTGTAGTATATTGGCTTTTGGTGCTCCAGCAACTGGTGTGTCTATGGCGGAGTTATGTGAAGCTGTTGCATGACTAAAATCAATTTGGACTCTTTGAGAACTGGCTGGAAGCTATTGACATCAAATGTATGCAAATTAGATTTCCAAACGAGCAACTGTTGAATATAGGGAAAAAATTCATATTAAATAAGTTTTTCACACACAAAGCAGAAATTACCTGTCGATCCTCGCCCGCGGAAGCAAAATGTCTACCATCTGAAGAGAAAGCGACGGCGCAAACTTTGTCAGTATGGCCAGTTAGTGAATAAATTGGTCGACCTTCTAATAAACAAATTTCCACTTGGGTGAAATGC